TTTCCGTTTTAGAGATTATGCAAAACATCAATCTCTATCCGTTTCACGAAAGAACTCTTTTGGAAAGTCAATTCCGCCCGAGGAGAATCCCGCGTGAGTTTGCTAGTTGGAGAATGGCGCTAGCTAAATAGGTCCATTTCTACGTGCGCGGCAGCCATCTTGTCGTAATCAGTTTTTCTGTGGAAAGGGGGTTGGTTTCTGGATAAGAGAATATAAACTGTTTATATTGTTTCGTTTCTGGATCATTCCTCTGAGTATAAATTTTATAAAAGCAAATCTGACTTGATTGTTATTCGTACCTTTACAGCAAGGATCCATTTAATTTGAGACATGCACCTAAGTTTACCTTTGCCGGCGCATGTCAACTTTTTGTTTCAATTCTAACAACCGCGCAACCGCTTGCATGTTTGCTCAAAAGCTAAATATTGAGCGCCATTATCAAACTACCTTCCCCGATGAAAAGCACCTGTGGGGGTTGTGTGTAATTTTGTCTCAGTGATCGCATTATTGAAACGAGTTGAAGCACAAGCGAAAAGTAGTTTTGCATCTTCGCCATGAACCTATTTCAACTGTACATGTCACATGCAACGAGCACTAACAAGAGCTGCAATAGAACATGAAACGAACAAACTCTGAGGTATAGGTGGCGTACTTCAAATTGGTCCACGATGCCGAATGCAAAATGGATAGCTTTCATTACCAGCTCAATTATCGAAATGATTTTCATTTCTCGCCAGCTGAACGCCACGTCTAATTTAATACTTCCGCGAAGTTTGAGCTAAAATTAAGCCTTTCGAAACCGAAGGAAATTGAACACAATAACTCGTTCCCAGTCTTGTCGCAGTTCAGTCTTACCTTGTCAGGGCTAATAATGGCTTTGAGAACAAGATTATGTAATACAAAAATTTGCTGTCTGGCTTCCGGATGAAGATGATCAATTACCAACAGCGAACTAAAGGGAACTGGGGAATAGTCATCCAGAAACACTCCATCGCCCTTACAAAAGGAAACGTTAGACTTTGACTAAACAGCTTTTTGAGCCGTCGCTTTTAAGGTCCAATAAAGTTAAGATTAGTTATTAGAAGGATTAAAAATGCCTTCCTGCCCGACGGGGATACACGTAAGTGAAAATCAGGACAACAATTTTCATGAGAGCACGGCAGGGTTTAATGGTGCTATATAAGGTTGT